ATGTGTGTTCCTGTAATTGAAGATTATATGGAACGGATGTGATTCATTTTTTTGCTACGTTTGATCGTTAGAAGAGGCACTTCAATATATTTACGTAGGATATTTAGAAAAATAAGAGATACGTTCGCAAAGAGGTTACATAAAGTATAAAATTGTGATTATCAATATTTTCGAAACGTTAAGATTAATTAACGTTTAACAGAAACTGATGTAAGCGCAATGTGTAGAGTTAATATATCATTTAAAAAAAAAAAAGAAAAAAAAGATTTGAAAATTGTATGAAGATATGAATGAAGGGAAAGAAGGATTTTGAAACGTTTGACAACTACGCCGTTCGCAAATAACTGTCAATTATATGATCAGGTTAGTACAGAAATAACAGAATGAAGCATACGTGCGAAAAACACACGCTGTAATACAGGTGAACGGGCTAATTAACCTGTCCCCCCTCCAGAAAATCTACACAGGTCGCGCGCACGTACCACTCGAACCCTCATTAGCGGTTCACCCTGAGCGTCGCGTGAACTTTGCACCTGCAAATTGCCACCTCTCTATTTAACCGCTTGCGAAACCCCACCATCCAACTCTATTTCGATCTCGCCCTTTCTTCGGCTGAAAAATCCGACTGTACTGCCGATAGTGACGGACTATCAAGCATTTCGAAAGATTCGGGGAACTTTTTAGAGTCTTCAGAGCTTTAGAAGTCATGTTTAAATATCTTCAGAGTTAAGTGAGAAATCATATTTAAACAGCTAGACTGAAATATTCTAGATAGAGTAGTTTAATAATTAAATCACAAATTTTTGCGCCTTTCGTAAGGAATAATTTAGAGTCCAAAAATTTATCTAGGGCCCTGAAATATCCAAAGTTCAAAGTACAGTAGAACGATTTTCTACGAAGAAAAATTTGCACAAAAATTCGCGAATAAAATTCTAATATATAAATTGATAATGTAATATTCGTACAATATAAATAACTCATATGGAATTGACCAATAAAGATTTTGGGAGGAATTTTGCATATTCTGAAACTGAGATTTCAGCGTCCATCGAGTTGATCTACCACGTGAGACAGTTATCGAGCGAATCGATGCAGCTGTTGCAGCATTATGCAACAAGGGAATAAAGACATTGAGTCCTGTCCTTGACGGGTGGTTTCGGGTGCTCGTTATTGAAGAAAAAAAGAGAAAAAAGAAACACGGGTTCGCAACAAACGATCCGACACGATGACACCATAACGTTGAATTAGGGTCTTGCTAATCTGTTTACATTGCATAATTAACGCGGTTGCAAAAGAAAATCGAGGATAACGACGTAGGAAAGGTTTCTTTTTACATAGAATATAACATAAGTATAAATTTCATTGAGATGTCAAGCTTGATCGATAAGAAACGAAGGGAAATGCCGAAAAATTAATTACCCCTTCCACCCGTGATAATGGCACGGACGAGATTAATAATTTGGAAGGCGGAGATGAGGCTTCAAACATTTACGGCTCGGCGAGAGCACGTGCACGGAATAAAATAAGCGAATTATGCAGATGAGAATTCGATTCCGTCACTTTTGATTTACGGTCGCCTGGCTTTAAAGAGGCAGAAGCAACACGAGTCGCAGGTACACAGATAGAGAGATATCGAGAGGAAACGAAGAGGAATTTCCCACTTGGTGTGTCTCGTACGCGAATACTCTTCGACCACCAACTATTTACGTTCTTCAGATAAGTGCACTATTAACTAACCTCGCGCTAATGTCTACGTTTTCTACCTCATTATGATAATTGTGGGACCAGCGGCCCTCGAGGCCACGAAAAGGCATCATCGCGGTCTCCCGGCTTGCCGCTTGCATTAAAACCCGTACACTGCGTACACTGCTCTTTTCGTTACGTATCATCTACTACTCAGTTGCTCGCGGAAGTGTTCCAACGTTTACAGAAACGTTCTTGCGAATGTGTTTGTACTTTGAAGTTTCATCAACGCCATTAACGAGTAGACAGTAGATTTTTATTCACATTCGTGCATTAAGATGCAGCTCTCTCTCTCTTCGTTAATATCGAATGAAATAAAACACAGCTAGATTAATTCCACTTCTTGAAGATGTATGTCACGATGCAGCTAACGTTTAAGCGGAAACGATAGACGTTGGAAAATATGGAATTAGGGGAGGTCAAGCGTTAATTCGTCTTCCCTTTGATTACATTGCCACTTTGCGAGGATGCTCGTTTCTGAAAACATTCCCGTAGCAATTACTTTCGTGTGTCCGCGTGATATATACATCAGGTTCGAATGTTCCGTGGGTAAACAAAATTTATTATTTGTCGGCGTCTTTCTGTGGAATCGGGCAACAGCGACAGGATAATCGATCGAAGATTGGATTAATCGATCCGACTCGATTACCACCGCGGTACGATAAATGGAAAACAGCCCGGTGATTGCCTTTGATTCGTGCTTTCCCTTCGTGTCGTTAATTTCTTAACTGTCGTGAGCAACGTGTTCCTTGCGCTCACAGTTTGTCGAAGAAATTCTGTAATTCATCAATCCGACGTTTTGACGAGAAATTTGTGAAATACTCGCAATATTCTTAAATTTTAATATAGAAAGTAATATTTTCTATATTCTTAATACCTGGCTATGGTAAAGTTTAAAATCAATCTTAAAACGGTTGAAGTTATGAGATATTTATTGGATACGTAGAGTTACTTACAAAAGTGTTCGAATTATAGGAATATTGCGTGTATTATTATGAAACATTTTGACACTTTGTTGATACTGTAGTGAGATTCGACTATCGGTTATATTACTCTGAGTTTGAAACAATCACCTTCAATGTTTGGTTCAACTTAATACATATCTCAAATAGCTATTCATGTTGTATTAATTCTTTATAATATCTCGCGACTTCCATGTACATTTTCATAAATCAATGAACACGTTGATGAATATACCGACAAACGGAGTTCGAATCGAAACAGGGTTCGCAATTATACGAACGAGGATTGTCGTTGCAAGTTTTAGTGGCTGTTCTCTCGTCTCGTGTCGCGCAGGTTCGACTAGATAATTCTCGAGAAAATAATTTTCCGCGTATTTGGAACGGTCGCGACTAGTGTTCCGCGCGGGAAGCGGATAGCGGCTACGCGCCGCGATTATTTCCACAGGCGGTGCATGGAAACGAAAAGAGAGCGATAAAAACGGCGCCTTCGTTGCCCCCGGCGAAGACTGGAAGCCGTTTCGTAATCGCGGCCTGGATCATTTTCTGCACGACTGCGCGGGAAATTAGATCACCTACCTCTCATCCCGGTAGCGAGAGATCTAGGCAGGTTTCATCGCACGATACAGGAAGAGGCTCCTTCCTTCTCTTCTTCTTTGTCCTCCTGTTTCTCCTTCGTCTTTCGCCTCTCATCGACAGCTTGTCGCTGATAATTTAGCTATTAGTCACGATCAACTCTCTCGCGCCCTCTCTCTATCTTTTGTCGAGGATAAAATCTACTTCGTGCTGAATTCGTTTCTGTACTACACGCCGATTAATTTCTTACTGGTCTTTGCCAGGTGGAACTCCTTTATTCTACGCATGTTCCTCGACCGTTATACTTCGGTACACTTGTTCCGTTATCGACATTTATCGGGGCAGCTTGTTGCTCCTCGTTGATTCCGCGGTTGACTATCGTGGCGCTTAACTGTTTCTTAATAATATTGCAAAACGAGGATACAGGTAACGGGCCGTCTGTTAAAGTTACAGACAGGAGACGAGCGTAGGATAATGGAGGTAATTTCTGGTCGATGAGTTGGGGGTTTATCTAGAAAGTGTAGTATTGGATTGGTGCAATAGGTTCGTTCGCCTCTCGCGGAAGTATTTCACTCAAATAATGCAGAGTAATTAATCGCATCGGACGAAGAACAATTGTTGTAAATATATAACAAAGAAATAATTTACTTCCATATAAAATATTCGGAAGATATAAATGAAATCTTCAGCATTCCAGTCGCGATTGAAGATTCCTTTGGATAAAAAAGCTTGGTTTTATCGATGAATTTTCAACATTCAATTATCTTTATCTTATCAATATATTATTTGTTTATTTATTAACATTCAATTAATTTATATTTCTAATATAATAGTATCATCTTAGCGTTCAATTCTACAATTCCCTCAATCGAAATTCTTAATAACAGCGCTACGAATTTTTCCCGAACAATCTGACGAACATGAACGAAACAGAAATATTACAGAATTATTCGTCCAATTACCAATTACGGAAAACAACAAGGAGGGAAGGGGAAGAGGATTGTCCACAAGCGTGTGCTATAGAGAGGATTTGATGGAAGGAAACGTCTCAGGCGTAGGGAATTCGCCCTCTTCTCCCGCGTTCGTACATTCCCTTCTTCTCAAACTTTCTCCCTCCCGTTGGATCGTCCTCGTTCTCGTCCTCCTCTTCGTCGCTGGCTTCGTTCTCGGCTCTTTCTGACTTTGCTTTTGGCTTGGGCCGAATGTAATCGGTTCCCCGAAGCCAGGGCTCATTATCGACCCGTCGGCCTAGCAATTACCTGCGAAGCCTCTTTCGACTTCGTGTGTGCCAGCCAGCACAGTTTCCGACTCTCCACGAGGCCTTCCGAGATCCTTCGAGGATCTTTCCAGCGTGGAACAGAGAAAAGATGAAGAGAGAGAGAGAGAGAGAGAGAGAGAGAGAGAGAGAGAAGGGAAAGCACGGAATATCCAGAGAAACGACAGTCTGCGTTCTCGAACGAACAACCGATGATAATTACTGGACGTGCCAGTAGTGTGCGATAATTGACAAGGTTGCGAAGCTCGCACTAGTTACCAGAGGAGGAATTCGAGTTGAGGGGAATTTAGATTTCGCAACGAATTATTTTGTCACACAGGGGAGACCTCTTCGCGCAGACTAGGGAATTCTCTTCTTTTCACGAGGATTCGACTGTCCTTCGTTAGATCAGACAATTTCTCTCTTATCACAGCGACTCTTCTTCAAACTTTTCGTGAAAATTTTCACAGAAGGGGATCGCGCTCATAGAATACATATTGAGAGGATTTTCTTTAGACAGAAATACTGAAGAATTTCTTACTT